ATGCTTTACTGCTTCTTAAACTGTCAGTCAGTAGTAAGATAATAGGTAAGTATGAGTTGACTTTGAATGGCAGTTTTACTAGAAGATGCTTCAAATATGTTTAGGTGACTACTTCATTGTTTCCCATGTTTCTTGTGTAAATGTCACCATAATCAGATTATGAAGTTTTTACTTTGCCTTGAATTCAGTTTCTTTCAATTTCTTCCTCATCTTGTATTTCCAGCTTCAAAGATTTCATGTTGTTAACAACTTTACACAAGTCTATATCTTTGTCTCTCACAGCCTTGCTTGTATCTTCGGAACAGAAGTTTTCTTTCTGGAGAATAAAAGCAGTATTTTTGTTTCTTGTGATTTAATCACTTTGCTTTTAAGAATATGAGAGAAAAAAAACTTCTAGACAGAGGTAACATTTAATTAGACAACTGATACAGTTGGAAAAAATAAAATTCCTTTCTTGTGTAAACTCAAAACATTTGGTTTTTTCTTTCCAAGTAGGGTAATAAACTACTTGGAAATCTTATCAGCTAAGTATGAAGGAGACCCTTCAACAGTATTTTGGTTTTCTTGACATGCACATTGAACCAGCTGAGTAACTCGAAGTTCCTGGGTAACTTCCACTGCACTGTGATTCTATGACCGTATTCTCTCCATGGAGTACAAGACCTTGAATAAAAAACTCAAACCACAAAAATTTCTAGCAGAACTATTTTTTTTTAATTGTTTGTTAATTCCAAATCAATGTTAGTATATTCCTTTTGTTGATTTTTGTATTTTTTATACAATACTGAAGTTTGGCAGAAATTTCATTTTCATAAATGTAACTGGCTATATCCTTCACTTATTAAACAAGTTGTACAGATGATAAACCTGTTAGTGAAAGCAGCCATCACACAATGCAACAGACGGAGCCTTTCTGTGGTGCTTGTGTAAGAAACCACCATTACAGAGTTCATGACAAAAGAAAGTTATTGTTCAATATCCTATTTTTGCCCTTTAATGACTTAACAAAATTGAATATTTAAACTTACTAAAATTTCAGTCCTTAAACAGAAATGTAGATGAAACTTCAGTCCTTAAACAGAAAGGTTGATGAAATTTTACTTTTTTGGCTGGGATGTAAGTCATTGTTACTAGAATGTCATAAAACATGGATATACTGAAGGGCAAAAAAAGAACTCTTGAACAGTATTTTATTGTGATCTTAATTATAATAGAATTTTTTTTAAGTCATCTTTTATCTACAGGTGGCATATTATCTATAATGTTTAATTTATTCAAAATATATTTTCTATTGTAGGTATGTCTTACTGACTGGAATATGAAAAATTAATTACACCTTGGTAAAGTTGACACTTTCTCCTTTTCTTCAGCTATTTTTTTTTTCTGCTCTGCATGTCTATGTACATTTACTGATATGTAGAGCCTGAATATGAAAGTAAAAGAACAACAACAACAACAAAAACTTCAAGCAAGAGTTGGCACCTAGTGACAACATATTGACAATGAAGGAGAGCTGAGTATGTATGACTAACAGCTTTGGTTTGTAACCAGCCAGTTATGCCATGGTCATGTTTTGTTGCTGCTTGGCTGCCTTGAATCAGATGACTGTGAACTCAGTGACTAAGTCTGAGAAAGCACATGGGTGCCTTCAGCATCTCCCATAACTGACGTGCTTTTGACATTTTCATATGTTTTCTGCAGGCTACGTGCTCTTTTTACTTTGCAGAGGCTTTGTTTTGATTTTAGTTAGCAGGATTTGTTGGTCGAGACCCTTGAGAATGACATGAGGCCTGGGCACCTTGAAGAATGTGGGCTCCAAATTTGTGAGCAACCTCAGCAAGAAAATGTACAGACAGCCCTGGCCTTACACTGTTGGGGTGCCTCTCCCTCACTTGTCCAGTTCAGAGAACTTCAGTTTTTCAAGTGCTTGGACCTTGATTTTTCTCGTACTTTCTTCACCCTTCAAACTGCCTCCCTTTCTTCCTCATCCTCAGTGAGCAAACTCCTCCCTCTCTTGCTGTATCAGTGGGCTTTAGCCCACTGGCCAGACCATTTTGGATTTCTACCTCATTTTTATTTGAGGTATATTAATTGTCATACGAAAATGAAACTACAATAAATACTTCAACAACAGCTTTTATTAATGTGCATATATAGATTTCAGGAGTTTTTCCCAGGTGTATTGGCTCTCCTCATGTGGTATCATGAGGAAACTTTTTCCACGTGAAAATCTGGGAACCTTTCTCTCCATCTCTCACTCTCAGCAAACACACTCAACAAATTTCTTCACAGGTGTTTCTCATGCTATACCTAACATCAGTGACCATGGCTTTAGGAAAATACTATATATTACAAACTTGAGGTATAAAACTTGGTGATCTTTGTTCAGTACTGCCTTCATACTAAGAAGGGAACAGTAAGAAAGATAAGAAAGCTTGATATAGATGTATTTCTTCTGAGAAGATATACCTGGCAGACATACAGAGGTGAGCAGCAGTCTTTGTGGGATCACAGCTTTATAGTATCAAAATGTAAAGCTCTGTTAATCAGGAGAAAAATGGTAGCTACAAAAATTGTCTCCCTTGTTATATACCCTAGGCTTTCTCTCTCTGAATTCACCCCATTATAACTTTCATGATTCCACTTGAGATGGTTCAGATGAGGACTGCTGGATAAGAGAGAAGTGGCAGGGCTGTTGTCACCATATAGGGCTGTTTGAAGGGACCCTCTGTGAGCCTGGCGGCTGCTGACGCCTGGTACAACATATGGCTTTAAGTAGTGCACTTGTTTTCAATCTTCTAGAGCAACAGTTCCAGGTCAAGCTGACAATAAGCACATTGTGTCCACCCCCACAATGAATTTAAGTGGTGATTGAAACAATATCTCATCTCATTTCTATTTACCAGGTTAAAGGAAGTTTCTCTCTGGAATGCGCTGTCATCTATTTGCAGCAGGAAATAAATTTCTTTTAAAAATAAATAAAAAGCCTCTCAGGTCTGCCAACACAGGTCAGTGTAAAATGATTCTAAAATACTTGGTTATTGCAAAGTTTTTCTGAGCACTTTGTCTGAAAAATACTGCAAACCATTGAAAAATAGTTCACCTTCTCTAGCTGGTTTGTACAGACCTACTTAACGTAATGAAGCTTTAATGACCTCTATCCCCTTTTTGCCCTCCCCAAATACTTCAGTTAGGTATTTCAAAAAGCATTTTTATGGCAACTGAGAATTTAAAGTGGTCATTTATATGATCATTCTCACTATAAATTATTGGATGTAAGTACACAAAGCAATGAGATGAGATAACCGTGCATTTTACTAAATCAGTTAAAATTTCAAACTTCAGATGATGTTACAGTACATAATTTAAGCTGCCTGTGCCTGTGGAATACCAGCAAGAGGGAAAGGACTTGAGCGTTGTGTGTTTTTTCCAGAAATGCCGTATACAACTTCAAGGATTTGGCCCAATTCAGCCCTAGCTGTACTAAGTAGATCTTTTTTTCTATTATTTTTTATTATTCCTTAATGTCGACATGATGCTGCAAAGTAGATGGGCAAAGTGGTAATAATATAGTTTTATTCTTTGTTCAAGATAAGCATAAATGCCTTTTCTTCTAAAAACCATAGCATTTCCTATACTTTGTATTAACTTGTAGGAGTTCACAGATGTTTCTCTTGTATTTAAATCTAATATATCTGCAAAGGTTCATATGGTTAAAGACCAGTTTTCCAACATACATGCCTATATCTGAAGACTTATTGTTACAAAGCTAAATCACATCAGGGAAAAGAGAAGCTAAGGGGATGAAAATGATCACAAGAAAAAAAACCAAA